AAAAACATTTTAAAAAAAGAAAAGAAAAAAAGTGCCCATTTTGCAAATGTATTTATGTTTTCAATAAACATTCAGAGAGAAAATATAGTTTACATGTTGTCATCAAGCTAAGCCAACCCTGTCTGTTTTTTCTGATATTTGTGCACATGTCGGTTTTGTTTCTTAAACTACCAACCCCTCTATATATAGAGATCCTATTAAATTAGAGTATTCTAATTCTATGATGCCAGCTACAGTTGAAGTCGGAAGTTTACATACACCTTAGCCAAATACATTTAAACTCAGTTTTTCACAATTTCTGACCTTTAATCATAGTAAAAATGCCCTTTCTTAGGTCAGTTAGGATCACCACTTTATTTTAAGAATGTGAAATGTCAGAATAATAGTAGAGATAATGATTTATTTAAGCTTTTATTTATTTTATCACATTCCCAGTGGGTCAGAAGTTTATATACACTCAATTAGTATTTGGTAGCATTGCCTTTAAATTGCTTAACTTGGGTCAAAGGTTTCGGGTAGCCTTCCACAAGCTTCCCACAATAAGTTGGGTGAATTTTGACCCATTCCTCCTGACAGAGCTGGTGTAACTGAGTCAGGTTTGTAGGCCTCCTTGCTCGCACACGCTTTTTCAGTTCTGCCCACAAATTTTCTATAGGATTGAGGTCAGGGCTTTGTGATGGCCACTCCAGTACCTTGACTTTGTTGTCCTTAAGCCATTTTGCCACAACTTTGGAAGTATGCTTGGGGTCATTGTTCATTTTGAAGACCCATTTGCAACCAAGCTTTAACTTCCTGACTGATATCTTGAGATTTTGCTTCAATATATCCACATAATTTTCCTTCCTCATGATGCCATCTATTTTGTGAAGTGCACCAGTCCCTCCTGCAGCAAAGCACCCCCACAGCATGATGCTGCCACCCCCGTGCTTCACGGTTGGGATGGTGTTCTTCGGCTTGCAAGCCACCCCCATTTTCCTCCAAACATAACAATGGTCATTAAGGCCAAACAGTTCTATTTTTGTTTAATCAGACCAGAGGACATTTCTCCAAAAAGTACGATCTTTGTCCCCATGTGCAGTTGCAAACCGTAGTCTGGCTTTTTTATGGCGGTTTTGGAGCAGTGGCTTCTTCCTTGCTGAGCAGCCTTTCAGGTTATGTCGATATAGGACTCGTTTTACTGTGGATATAGATACTTTTGTACCTGTTTCCTCCAGCATCTTCACAAGGTCGTTTGCTGTTGTTCTGGGATTGATTTGCACTTTTCGCACCAAAGTATGTTAATCTCTAGGAGACAGAATGCGTCTCCTTCCTGAGCGGTATGACGGCTGCGTGGTCCCATGGTGTTTATACTTGCGTACTATTGTTTGTACAGATGAACGTGGTACCTTCAGGCGTCTGGAAATTGCTCCCAAGGATGAACCAGATTTGTAGAGGTCTACAATTATTTTTCTGAGATCTTGGCTGATTTCTTTTGATTTTCCCATGATGTCAAGCAAAGAGGCACTGAGTTTGAAGCTAGGCCTTGAAATACATCCACAGGTACACCTCCAATTGACTCAAATGATGTCAATTAGCCTATCAGAAGCTTCTAAAGCCATGACATCATTTTCTGGAATTTTCCAAGGTGTTTAAAGGCACAGTCAACTTAGTGTATGTAAACTTCTGACCCACTGGAATTGTGATACAGTGAATTATAAGTGAAATAATCTGTCTGTAAACAATTGTTGGAAAAATTGTACAAAGTAGATGTCCTAACCGACTTGCCAAAACTATAGTTTGTTAACAAGAAATTTGTGGAGTGGTTGAAAAACGAGTTTTAACGACTCCAACCTAAGTGTATGTAAACTTCCGACTTCAACTGTATGTAGTATACTAGCAAACATTAGCATTAGCAAACAAGCAGACAGTTTATCCAGAGTTTAGCTAGAGCTGTCATGCTAGGCAATTTAGCTAACCTGGTTGATAAAATAGCTAACGTTAGTGTTGTATGATGTGCTCATCTGTAATCATTAGCATTAGCTAGCTAGCCTAGTACTATGTTAGCAACTGGTAACATTAGCTAACCTAGCTAGCCAACTAGGGGTGTAGTCATTAGTCGAATTCCGTTGCAAAATGTTTCATCTGTTGCAATTGCAAAATTTTTGCAACAGAAACCGTTTAGCGTTTATTCTAGGAAGCAAATGGAACAAAAACGGGGAGGGACCTACCTGAATTTGTCCAATATAAATGATTGTTTTTGTTGCAAAACGTTTTCCATTTGAAGTAAACTGTTTCCATTTTGCAACAGACCAAATGTTTTGCTACGGAATCCGACTAATGAATACACCCCAAAATAGTCAAAACTGGCTCCTTGGGACGTCACCCCATTAAAGTTGACATTTAAAATGGTTTAGGTAAGGGTTATGGGTAGGGGTTAAGGTCAGGGTTTAGGAAAGGGACGTCCCAAGGATCTGGATAGGACTAACCAATAAATCATTATTGGTGTTGTTTTCTAGATGAGAACCATGTGACCCAACTCTCACGAATGTCATGGGTTGCAGCCAGCCAGACCACAGTCAGAGAACTGCCCTATTAATGTTAGAAATGAAAAAAGCTATATAATGCTTCATTTAATTGTTCAGACTGAGGTTAGGCCTCTTTTGCCACCATGCATCCATCTTCCACCCTCATAATCGAGTGGTCTAATGGATCACTTATGTAGGTCTACATCCCAGGTCAGGGTTCTTGGATGCAAGGTCTTGTGGTGTGATTTACTGACAAATTGAGAAACTAGTTCAGTTTAACTTTGCTGTACTATATTACACCAAATAACCTTATTATACCGATTTACTCTGTCTTAATACTGTGCTCAGGAAAATATTCACATTAGAATGTAATTGTTTTCCATGCTGTAGTATATGTGTTTGTGTGCTCTAAGCAAATGTTGGACTCCGTACTCAAAGCTTAGCCTAATGCAAACTGCATGGTCCAGTGTTGGCTCCCTTTGCCTTCAATGATTGAAATGAGAGAGCAGAGGTAGTGGACGTTGACCGTCTTTTAAAGATGCAACCTTTGGCTACTATTTAGGCTAGTATAGGACACTGAGTAACTAACTGCTTGTGCAAGAACTGCAGCAATGAGAATGCATTTAAGAGCCTGGCTTGTTTTGAAATGTAGCCTATGTCATCATGTTTCTGGCCCCCCCTGATAGCTTATTTCCTTATGCCATGATCTTTATCAACCAGTCAGTCATATGGAATCAATACTATCCTGGTGTTTTCCATGCTTGTCTGCATATTTTTTGGAACAAACACCATTTTACTGTGAAACCAATAATGGAACTGATACTGTATGTCATTACTTTAACGATAAGAATAAAGTGGTGAGAAGTATTTTAGCAATTCATTGTAATCATTGCTATTTTCTCAAGTTTTCTTGAATAAAGTCAGATTTAAAAAGGTTAAGGGTACAAGACTGTATACATAGCTGGCTGTGTTGGCAAAATCACTACATATCCCATCGAGCAAAGCAGGGAGAGGCTGCCCGTTGTCACAGTTCCTACGCCAATGACGCCAGTGGATCTCAAAATCGAACTTGGATCCGCGTTAAGTAGCAATGATATCCTTTGCCACTGTCGCCTTACGACAGATATCTCAAACCAGTCATGACTATTCAACAAGACAATAAAACAATAAATAATTTAAGGTTCTTTCCAGCAATTTTCTTAGTTACATGATTGTATAACTAGCAAAGGAGTTTTGAAGTTGAGGGTGCAGTATTTATAAAGTTAGGCAACATTAGTGATTGATTAGTAATGCCTGACGAGTTCATATAAATTGGTGTCTGTTACGTGAACTGATTAAGATGGTGTTTGCTTCCTGAGAATAAAGTCACGTTTTATGAGCTCCTGTATGCTGCTTCTGTCTAGTCTTAACTTTCCTTATAGTTCATGTTCCCCCCTCTGAACGGCACATTATATTACCGTCAATGCAGCATTCTTAACAGAGAACCCTCATTGTCACTTTGTGTTGCTTGAAATAAAATTAAGTTGAAATGAAGGTTGCTTTGTTTCAATGCTAGGGTAACCATTAAGGGTGAGGCCCCTTGAGAGAGAGAAGCAGTGCTAATGATGGCACTGCATGGCAGCCTTGCTTAGCCTAAATGTTGTGAATTTTTTATTTTGGGGAGATATGGTGATGCTGTTAAGAAAATGTAGGTCAGTGAGAGCAAGAGATACTTTATCAACAAGAATAGTGTATTCCACTCTCTCTCACAGTCTGTGGATCAAGTCACATAACTGGCCTTCACATGTTGAAACGTTTCTGGTTTACGTTAAGCCTACATTCCTCTCCCAAACCTGTGTCCTGTGCAATTGAAAATAGAGGAACATGTTGGAGGGGAAGGCAGAGTTTTAAAGACTAGTCTTGTTGTTTGTTGTTGCTTATTTAGGTAAGCAGTCTCCAATGAGGGACAAACTGTACTTGGTTACATTCCCAGAACTATTCCTACTCAGAGCATTTCAACACACACTGTGCCAGATGGCCAATCGCAACTTCTAATGGGCGTGGTTCCACATTTGATTGACAGACGGGCAGTATAACGTGTGACCTTTGGGCCTACTGTTATGTGTGTTTGTGTGTATAGCCTACATGTGTTCCTGAATGTCTCCATGTGCGGGCATGCCAGTGTCTGTGTGTGTTGTAATCCCCATGACTGGACCACTAGCTTTGGACCACATGACTACAGTGAGGGTGAGCTGGCAGCTGGTCAAAGTAGTCCATGGCACAAAGGAAGTGTTCCAAGTATTTGCAGTAGTAGCCTATTATAATATTGCCTGCGTCGTAGAGCATAAACAGCATTGCTTTTTAACACTGGGAGGGGTTCTACAGTCAAGACACAGGCAGCATGCTTTATAGGCTGCTTTTATACTGTGTTTATCATGATGGATGATGTTAGCCATGCTACATGGTCAGTCCACCATTCTAATTTAGTGCCCCTTCTATTTCCCCAGCTGTGGCACAATGACATCTAGGAAGAAAGTACTACTTAAAGTCATCATTCTGGGAGACTCTGGGTGAGTGTCCTGTCTACCTTGCACAGCCACTTACACTTCTTCTCTGTTATCATAAAAGGTTACAAAATATATTTGTTTACCAATCACTCTGTCATAACTGTTGCTGACCTGAATCTCTATCTTGTCAGAGTTGGGAAGACCTCGCTGATGAACCAGTATGTGAATAAGAAGTTCAGTAACCAGTACAAAGCCACAATAGGAGCTGATTTCCTGACGAAAGAAGTGATGGTGGATGACAGGCTTGTTACCATGCAGGTACTGGGGAAGGGATACTATCAAGGTACTCATCACAAGTGCTGTGCTGAAGTACAGGTCAATGGGTAGGCCTATATTTTATTGTTCTTCATAAACGTGTATGCCCCTCCCCTGTGCTCTGTCACAGATCTGGGACACAGCGGGGCAGGAGAGGTTCCAGTCTCTGGGCGTGGCGTTCTACCGCGGGGCAGACTGTTGTGTGCTGGTGTTTGACGTGACCGCCCCCAACACCTTCAAGACTCTAGACAGCTGGAGGGACGAGTTCCTCATCCAGGCCAGCCCGCGAGATCCTGAGAACTTCCCCTTTGTGGTGCTAGGCAACAAGATTGACCTGGAGAACAGACAGGTGGATCCAGATGTAGTGTTTGAGACCAGAGCATCTCAGGCAGTAAGTAGCTTGTGTTCCCTTCAGAGAATGACAGCTGCTTTTTGTCTGTATCTGACAGGTGACGACTAAACGAGCACAGGCCTGGTGTCAGAGCAAGAACAACATCCCCTACTTCGAGACCAGCGCTAAGGAGGCCATCAACGTTGAACAGGCTTTCCAGACTATCGCACGCAATGCTCTTAAACAGGTAGGGGGTCAGAAGGGAACTTGTGAGAGCTTAGCTGAATGCCATGTGTGTATTTACAGTATTAATATCTTGATTTCCATGCATGTTGAAGTCACACAAAAAAAGCTTAACACCATCTCGTCTTTTTCTCCCTTTAGGAGACAGAGGTGGAGTTGTACAATGAGTTCCCTGAACCGATAAAGCTGGACAGGAACGAACGGGCCAACCCATCAGCGGAGGCCTGCAGCTGCTGAGGACCTAGCAGACTTACAGGGCCGTAACTGTCGGCCCTGCTACCCTGTCTTGCCTTGTCTAACCCCTATCCCCCACACCCCACTGTGTGCTCCCCTTTGCCCAATATTATCACTGGCCTTCGTAGATGCAAGTTCCGCGCGAAAAATATACTTTACACACACGCTGCACTCACACCTGTGTACATATCACACACTTACTCTCAAGATAAGTCTCCAAGCCCAAAGAACACCCAGATGAATATTATAGCATTTATTAACATGAGATCTGCTTAGTATTTCCCCCTTAACTGTCTCGTGACGCAAACACTTTTTTAGACACCATTGTTTCCATGGCACCACCCAACATCACACACACGCATACGGAAATAAAATCCCATGACATTTAAAAGGGGGGGTTAGTTCCAGTGGTAAAGGAGGTTGTGAAGGTTCAGAACGAGTAATTTATATAATTGTGTGTGAAAGTGTGTGTTTGGGTCATGCCAATGTACTGCCCAAAGATACATGTGTTAATTGGCTTGGAAGTGAACTAGCAAGTCCAACATACGAGTATGTTGTTCAATGCATTTTTTTGCACTTTGTTGTCATGTAGACGTATTCAAATCCTGTTTGACACCTCATTTTGAAGCCACAATAAAAACCAACATTTTAAGTCGAGGCTGAAGAGGCAGTGTGGATTTTAACTCTGCTCCCCAACTTCAATGATGTCCCCTAACTGCCCTATACATTCAATGTTTCTCAATGTCAAGCAGCAAATTATTTTGTCAACATTCTGCGACCTGACACAAGGGGTAGAGAATCAAAGGGAGGACGTCCTATCTGATACAGCTGGGGAGGGGACAGAGATTTTTCAAGCGTATAAATATGACACATTACTATTATTAGCTATTGCCTCTATATTGTCTTATTTTTACACTGTCAACTGTTGCAAGACTATATGTGCAAACCTTTAAGTCTGTCAATCGTTTAGCGTAGGCAAAAACCATGTCAGTTTCCATGCCTCTGCCGATAGCTCAGGTTGGCAAATTTTTTGTTGACAAGTGCTCGATATTTCTTTTAACTGATCAGATCTTTTACTGTCTGTTCATATATTGTTATTATTACTATGTTTAGAATTTGAATTGCATCATAGATGATGAGAACACAACTTTTTTTTATTTAATATTATTAATTAAATGATAACTTAATCTACATTGTTTGAAAATGTCTTTGGGTTTCAAGGAAATTATAAAAGTTATTGAATAGAGAGTGTGTGTGTGTTTATACAAGTAGAACATGTAACGTATAGGTGACTATCAAGGCTCATACACACAGCTGTTCTACTACACTGAACAAAAATATCAACGCAACATGTAAAGTGTTGGTCCGATGTTTCATGAGCTGAAATAAAATATCCCAGAAATTGTCCGTAAGCACAAAAAGCTTATTTCTCTCAATTGGTGTGCACAAATTTGTTTACATCCCTGTTCGTGAGCATTTCTCCTTTGCTAAGATAATCCATCCACCTGACAGGCATTGCATATCCAGAAGCTGATTAAACAGCATGATCATTACACAGGTACACCTTGTGCTGGGAACAATAAAAGGCCACTAACATGTGCAGTTTTGTCACAACAATACCACAGATGTCTCAAGTTGAGGGAGTGTGCAATTGGCATGCTGACTGCAGGAATGTCCAGAGCTGTTGCCAGAGATTAATTTCTCTACCATAAACTGCCTCAAACTGTAACTCTAAAATCTTTTAAATTGTTGCATGTTGGGTTTATATTTTTGTTCAGCACATAATCTATAGTATACATTGACATTTTTTGTTTTGCATGGGGGCACTCACTCTGTATTTCTATTCTTCAGTCTACTGCTCGTACAGAAATATCAAAATTGGGCACTTGTGAAGGCGAACACTTGCCAGAACCATCAAAATCTGTAAAATGTTTAATAACTTTATCATCTTTAACCAATACCAGACAGATACAAAAATAATCAGAAACCATTTCCTGTCTTACATGTCTATCAACACACAGCAATATCAAGACAAAGCCTACATTTTTTAACCTGTTCCCTTCTCTTTTCAGTCAGTCAATGTTTCTGTCCCACTCAGTTGGTCCTGGGTTTCTTATTGGCTCCCTGCAGCCACTGTTGGAGAGGCCCTGCAGCCTTCAGCTGCTTCTCAGGCCCGGTCTCTCCTGTGTGCCCCTCCTTTTTGACTTCCCCAATGTCTGGCTCTTTCCTCTTGGGAGGCGTGCTGCTCTTCAGCCAGCCCATCATCATCTTACTGCTGGCTGAGGGCTTGGGCTCCTGGGGAAGGAAGGGCATATGATGAGGGGTAAGTGGCAGCAGGGAGGAACATGTAGTATGGTATGGAGCCCATTATCAATTTTTCCTCTTCCAAGGATTTCAATCTAGATTTGGGGTAAATATGTGAAGTGTTCGGTCTGGGATAACCTTTCTAATGATCATGAGCTATTCAATGATTGGAACACATCATCAGACATCTCAAATATGGGTATGTAGTGAGGTCATGAGGCACTCACTAACTGTAAGTCGCTCTGGATAAGAGCGTCTGCTAAATGACTAAAATGTAAATGTAAAATGTCATGCAGTTGTACCTTCTTAGCCTGAGGATCCACTGGCTGCAGGCACTCAGGGGAGTTGTTTCGAGAGTTGTTGACAAATGAGGAGACAGGGTGAAAGGTCAGTGTATTTTTGGACTGAAGCAGTTTAAGGGCATCTAATGACTTCACCGCACCAAAATCCAGCCATCTTCTGACCTCCTCCTCTCCATCGAGAACCGCTGGCATCCTGTATGTTAATCACAATCATTGGTAATTCTACATCATACACAAACGCTCATATACACAGAACATACTCAATTTACACAAAGAGAGAGTAATGCTTGAGACTGAGGCCCTTACCGGTCATGGATGCCTTGAAGATTAGGGGATGCATCCACAGTGATCACAGTGTAGGTGTAGAGGGGATCTCCACCACTAGGGGGAGTCCAGCAGTCAAACAGTCCTGCAATGGTCAGCAACCGCCATCCTCTCCACTCACAGTCTCCTTTGTCCTCCTACACAAGACAGACACACAAATAGGCAAGGTATATATGGTCAAAAGGCAATGCTCACATTATTTCATTACTGCAGTCTAAAAACAAAGAAAGTTTACAAATGGGTCTGAATGGAGTCAAAAAGTGTGATAAGGTGTTTTTGAGGCAAAAAAGGGAAAAGGATGGGGGATATCATCAGTGTCATCAGACTCAAGCATCTTACTCTGAATGTTGTCAGTTTTCTGTGTTTGCTCAGTGATGCATGGTCCATGAGTGTGTGTCAGCAGCTCACCTCTTTCTGGTCTACAGAGCCTTCCTCAGAAGTGCATGTCTGTGGATCCTCCTTAAAGGGTATCCCCTCATCCTGGTCCTCTGTTTTCACATGAGCGGGTCCTTGAGTCTGGGGGAAATAGATGAAGAAGGGCTGCTTGTCTTTCTCCTGCCTCCTCCATTCATAAAAGCCATCAGCCAGGATGACACAGCGCTGTCCTTTCAACAGCGGATCCTGAAACGAAATAGTATACAAATATTCACTACTACACAGGGAAACCGTTTGAGGATGCATGCTGTCCCTGTTGATAATGAGTTATGTGCATTTCATGTGGCGATGAATCAAACTCACTCCACACCTTGTAGGACTTCTTCTCTAGCAGGCTCTCACTGCGACAGTTGTTGGTGCTGTACTGCATCTTGCTTGGGTCATTCTCCCGGAACCAGGCAGGCACCAGGCCCCAACGCATCACTGCCAGCACACATTCATCCACTGGGGCATTCTGAGAGAAAAGGGTTGGATGGGAACCATCTGGTTAATACACAAATATTTTCCTCCAGGCAGTGCGCAAATGACGCACCCCAAAATAAACATCCAGCCCCCCTGGCCAGGATCAGTTGATCTGCTTCAGTTGCACATCTATACTTACCTTATCAAAATGTCTTTGGGACAACAAGACTGGGCTCAAGGACTGGGGGCTCTTGTTGTAGGAAGGTCGGTACTTATCCGAATTTCCATCTTTCCACCTTGGATGTCGACGCCGCCCTCCTCGGTCTCTGTACTGGGAGGCGCGGCTGACTTCATCTGCCGCGAGGGTGCATGCAGTCCTCCCGCACATCCTCAGCCCAGTAGTCAACAGTGCAGTCTGATGAAACAACAACATGCAGTCATGAAATGCATGCATTGGATTTGCCAGTAGATTCCGACCCAATCATTGCGCTTGTTTACACTGAGCTGCACTGGGGTCGGAACACAATCATGGTTACATTAAGACACCGTGAAGCCAGCGTGAGATATGGGTCGGAAAACATCCCTCAATGCAGGGATGAGATATGATACTGTATTCCAAATTCTACCTTTATGCACAACGATACATCGAGAATATTTAAATACTGCTAGTTTTCCCGGAAAACGGCCCTTTTCATCCTCATGCTTGCTAGCAGTAGCCACCGCAGCCATTATGGAACGGCAGTGTCAGCCAATCAATTTTTTTGTTGTTCAACACGACATGCCATACCATAATGGCTGCTGTGGCTATTGCTAGCTAGCATGAGGATGAAAAGGGCAGTTATCCAGGAAAACCAGCAGTATTTCAATCTTCAAATCAAATCAAATTTGCCACATGCGCCGAATACAACAGGTGTAGACATTACAGTGAAATGCTTACTTACAAGCCCTTAACCAACAATGCAAAGTAAAACACATTTTTAAAAAGCGTTAAGCAAAAAAAATTTAAGCAAATAACTAAAGAGCAGCAGTAAAATAAAATAACAGTAGGGAGGCTATATACAGGGGGGTACCGGTGCAGAGTCAATGTGCGGGGGCACCGGCTAGTCGAGGTAATTGAGGTAATATGTACATGTGGGTAGAGTTAAAGTGACTATGCATAAATAATAAACAGAGTAGCAGCAGCGTAAAAAAGGGGGACGGGGTGGAGTGCAAATTGTCCGGGTAGCCATGATTAGCTGTTCAGGAGTCTTATGGCTTGGGGGTACAAGCTGTTGAGAAGCCTTTTGGACCTAGATTTGGCGCTCCGGTACCACTTGCCGTGCGGTAGCAGAGAGAACAGTCTATGACTAGGGTGGCTGGAGTCTTTGACAATTTTGAGGGCCTTCCTCTGACACCGCCTGGTATAGAGGTCCTGGATGGCAGGAAGCTTGGCCCCAGTGATGTACTGGGCCGTACGCACTACCCTCTGTAGTGCCTTGCGGTCAGAGGCCGAGCAGTTGCCATACCAGGCGGTGATGCAACCAGTCAGGATGCTCTCCATGGTGCAGCTGTATAACCTTTTGAGGATCTGAGGACCCATGCCAAATGTTTTCAGTCTCCTGAGGGGGAATAGGCTTTGTCGTGCCCTCTTCACGACTGTCTTGGTGTGTTTGGACCATGATAGTTTGTTGGTGATGTGGACACCAAGGAACTTGAAGCTCTCAACCTGTTCCACTACAGCCCGTTGACGAGAATGGGGCGTGCGCAGTCCTCTTTTTTTTCCTGTAGTCCACAATCATCTCCTTTGTCTTGATCACAATGAGGGAGAGGTTGTTATCCTGGCACCACACGGCCAGGTCTCTGACCTCCTGCCTATAGGCTGTCTCATCGTTGTCGGTGATCAGGCCTACCACTGTTGTGTCGTCGGCAAACTTAATGAAGGTGTTGGAGTCGTGCCTGGCCATGCAGTCATGGGTGAACAGGGAGTACAGGAGGGGACTGAGCACGCACCCCTGAGGGGCCCCCGTGTTGAGGATCAGCGTGGCAGATGTGTTGTTACCTACCCTTACCACCTGGGGGCGGCCCATCAGGAAGTCCAGGATCCAGTTGCAGAGGGAGGTGTTTAGTCCCAGGATCCTTAGCTTAGTGATGAGCTTTGAGGGCACTATGGTGTTGAATGCTGAGCTGTAGTCAATGAATAGCATTCTCACGTAGGTGTTCCTCTTGTCCAGGTGCGAAAGGGCAGTATGGAGTGCAATAGAGATTGCATCATCTGTGGATCTGTTGGGGCGGTATGCAAATTGGAGTGGGTCTAGGGTTTCTGGGATAATGGTGTTGATGTGAGCCATGACCAGCCTTTCAAAGCACTTCATGGCTACAGATGTGAGTGCTACGGGTCGGTAGTCATTTAGGCAGGTTATCTTAGTGTCATTGGGCACAGGGACTATGGTGGTCTGCTTGAAACATGTTGGTATTTCAGATTCAGTCAGGGACATGTTGAAAATGTCAGTGAAGACATTTGCCAGTTGGTCAGCACATGCTCGGAGTACACGTCCTGGTAATCCGTCTGGCCCTGCGGCCTTGTGAATGTTGACCTGCTTAAAAGTCTTACTCACATCGGCTACGGAGAGCGTGATCACATAGTCATCCAGAACAGCTGGTGCTCATGCATGCTTCAGTGTTGCTTGCCTCGAAGCGAGCATAGAAGTGGTTTAGCTCGTCTGGTAGGCTTGTGTCACTGGGCAGCTCGCGGCTGTGCTTCCCTTTGTAGTCTGTAATAGTTTTCAAGCCCTGCCACATCCGACGAGCGTCAGAGCCGGTGTAGTACGATTCAATCTTAGTCCTGTATTGACTCTTTGATGGTTCGTCGGAGGGCATAGCGGGATTTCTTATAAGCGTCCGGGTTAGAGTCCCGCTCCTTGAAAGCGGCAGCTCTAGCCTTTAGCTCAGTGCGGATGTTGCCTGTAATCCATGGCTTCTGGTTGGGGTATGTACGTAAGGTCACTGTGGGGACGACGTCGTCGATGCACTTATTGATGAAGCCAGTGACTAATGTGGCGTACTTGTCAATGCTATCTGAAGAATCCCGGAACATATTCCAGTCTGTGCTAGCAAAACAGTCCTGTAGCTTAGCATCTGCGTCATCTGACCACTTTTTTATTGACCGAGTCACTGGTGCTTCCTGCTTTAGTTTTTGCTTATAAGCAGGAATCAGGAGGATAGAGTTATGGTCAGATTTGCCAAATGGAGGGTGAGGGAAAGCTTTGTATGAGTCTCTGTGTGTGGAGTAAAGGTGGTCTAGTTTTTTTCCCATCTGGTTGCACATTTAACATAGAAATTAGGTAGAACGGATTTAAGTTTCCCTGCATTAAAGTCCCCGGCCACTAGGAGCACTGCCTCTGGATGAGCGTTTTCCTGTTTACTTATGGCCTTATACAGCTCATTGAGTGCAGTCTTAGTGTCAGCATTGGTTTGTGGTGGTATATAGACAGCTACGAAAAATATAGAAGAAAACTTTCTTGGTAAATAGTGTGGTCTACAGCTTATCATGAGCTACTCTACCTCAGGCGAGCAAAACCTTGAGACTTCCTTAGTACTAGATTTTTTTCACCAGCTGTTGTTTACAAATATACACAAACCGCCACCCCTTGTCTTACCGGAGTCAGCCGTTCTATCCTGACGATGTAGCGTATATCCCGCCAGCTGTATGTTATCAATGTCGTCGTTCAGCCATGACTCAGTGAAACATAAGATATTACAGTTTTTAATGTCCCGTTGGTAGGATAATCGTAATCTTAGGTCGTCTACCTTATTTTCAAATGATTGAACATTGGCTAATAGGATTGATGGAAGAGACAGTTTACTCGCTCGCCGTTGGATCCTTACAAGGCACCCCGACCTACGTCCACGAATTCTCATGCGAATTACGGGGATTTGGGCCTTGTCGGGTGTCTGTAGGATATCCTTCGCGTCCGACTCGTTGAAGAAAAAATCTTCGTCCAATACAAGGTGAGTAATCGCTGTCCTGATATCCAGAACTATTTTTGGTCATAACAGACAGTGGCAGAAACATTATGTACAGAATAAATTACAAATAACGCCAAAAAACACACATAATAATAGAATTGGTTAGAGGGCTGTAAAACGGCAGCCATCTTCTCCAGCGCCATTCTAGGAGAATGATAGAGCAGTGTGGATAATGGTAAAATTTGCAGTACAGTTACATTCCAGGTACGTTTTCCGACCCATATCTCGTGCTGGCTCCACCTGTCTTAATGTAACCATGATCGCTTTCTGACCCTAGCCAGCAGATCCGACCCGCCTGCTTATAGCTGCACTAGGGTCGGACAGGCTTCATGTGTAGATTAAGACACTGCAGAGCTGGCTCGAGATATGGCTCGGAAAACATACCTTAATCCAGGGATGATAAATGCATTATACATCGAATTGTACTATTATCCCAACTGTTACACAGAGAAGATTGAACGACTGCTAAAAAACTAGCAGTCGTTCAATCTTCTTGGTGTAACAGTCGGGATAATGGAACAATTCAGAGTACAACGAATTTCTTATCCTTGGATTAAGGTACGTTTTCCGAGTAATATCTTGCGCCGGCTCCACAGTGTCTTAAGCTTCATGTCCACCAGGTGCGTCAAACTTCACATTCCGGCAGAAGTTATTAATTGTTAATGGCAGCTATGTTTGGGATGCCGCACTAGGCAGCGGTGCGTTCTGTGTACCGCATTCAATATTTTGCATTACCGTGCGGTGGTACAAACGGAAGTTCATAAAAGTTCCCCATGACGGGGTTGGCACCATACTGAGGCCAAATTATGATGACTATTGTGTAGTTAGAGAGGAGAAAATACTGGCTGAATTACTGGAAATGTGTCTCTGGTAAGAATGACACTGGGACAATTCGTCATTACTATCCTTGGGTATTGCACCCTGTTGGCTAGTTTTCACGAAACAAGCCAACAGAATGGAGTGCAAAATTAACACACAGAACTTTTCTGTGCGTAGTTTAGCATGCCATCATGCAGAGCAAGCTAGTGATTTGAAATCAGTACTCTATATGGGAACAGCCAATTCAATTTGTTGATTTTGCTAGAGATGAGTGGCAAGAATAGAAACAAACTAGATTAATTGTTGTAATAACCATTGTGCGCTCCAGTCTGTTGGTAGCTCTGCCAGCCTGTGAAACCATTAGGTTGATAGGAAAATAACTTTCATCTGTTGTAATTATTATCTTTGGTCAAACAGGTCGAAAATGATCTTTTCTATGCTGCAAAACGTTCTGCAGCCTTGCGAAGCACATGTGCAACATGCATGTGTATCTGGTGGACATATGGCATTAATGTACACAGGAAGGCTGTCAGACCCTATTGCAGCTGTAAGCAAGTGGGTCGGATCTGCTGGCTAGTTCCGACCCCAATGACAGTGCAGCTCAGCGTAAACAAGTATAACAGTAGGGTCGGTATTTTCTGGCAAGCATTGGGTATACGAACTGACAAACGAAAAAAATTCCGCGGTGAATCAAGAAGCATTAGCTAATAGCTAGCTATATCACTCTACCAGTAACGTGAACTAGCTCTATTCGCTTAGCTTGCTAGCTACCAAGTCAACCACGCAACTTTATTTTTTGGCTAACTGCCTAGGAAGCTACGGTTCAACTTCAGATAGCGGACAAATCTTTCAATGCATGGTAAAAATGGGAGAACCAAATATTAGTATTTACATAGTGTTAATTTACCGTTGTTTGTGAAATGTCTGTTGTTTTGGACTGGACTTTGTCTCGACTTGCCAGACCGCGCGTTCAGATGGTTCTTCTTCTTCTATGATATCATGGCAGTCCGCAAACAAACGTTTAAGTGCATGCCGCCACCTTCTGTGCTGGAATGTACGATCAATCATGATCTGCCCATGATCTTGGCATATTTTTTCCTTCCTTTACATTGTACAGCTACGTGTCCCATTCGTTGGCATTTAAAACTCCGCAATTGAGATGGGACCAATTCTCTGACATTGAAACTAAGGAATCCTATCTTTACTTTTCCAGGTAAAACCTTCTCAAACCTCAGCAGCCCTGATAAGCTTGAACTTATTTGACCCTCTTTCTGATCAACCTTTTGGCCTCAATGACTCTTCCTCCTTTACATTTTCTTTAATATCATCTATGGATGTAGATATTGGGACCCCAGTGATGACTCCCCTCAACCTAGCATAAGCACCTGGGACATGGCTTTTAATATTCTTCCCATTAAGCACTTTCAGAATCTTCTCTTGCTGAGCCTGGCTACCACAAAATATTAATCTACCATTTCCAATGAACAAAGCTAATTTGACTTCACCTATCTCTTTCTCTACGGCATTGGTTAGTCGGATAGGGTTTAAATGAGGCTCTGGGGTCTCATCAAACACCATCACCACTCCAACACATTATAATAATAATAATAATAATTACTCTTGCTTCCTACCTTGGTCCTCTTTATGCTTTCTTTACTAGACACTCCACTGCTTTCTGTATCATGATCTCTCTTCTTCCTATGTCTTTCCACTACCGACCATTCCGGTCCTCGACCCTCATCCTCCCGCTCCATACCATCAGAACCGACACCCATATTGTTTGCATTCCAGCACAGCTGTTGCTTCTCCAACCTTCTCTCCATTTCCTCCCGACCCATTCAGTTCATTTACATTTTAGTCATTTAGCAGACGCTCTTATCCAGAGCGACTTACAGTTAGTGAGTGCATACATTTTTTCATACTGGCCCCCCGTGGGAATCGAACCCACAACCCTGGCGTTGCAAACGCCATCCTCTACCAACTGAGCTACAGTTCAGAGCTACAGTTCAGTTGGTTAAATGTCTTGCAACATTATGTAGTGTGAAAGTAAATCGCACATCACATTGATATACCCTCACAACCCTTTTCCTGATATTTATTTATTCACACATTACGTTTTTGTTTTTCCATCCTAGAGATACACTATAAACGTTAAAATTTAAACAAAATCAACAGAACTTGGAAAATGCCAGTGGAAAACAATCCTAGTTATAGTCTCAAAAAACAAACGCCAGAGTACCACATGAAATCATCATAAGCTCCTCTGGTGAGGATGTTCGAATAGTGAATACAGTGCACGGAAAGTTTAGTTAACATACTCATACAAGAATACAGGAATTATCAAAAGAAAAAAATGCATGCCTCCATTTTCAACAGAGTCTCAACAACTATGACAATCATGCTACATCTTTGCAGGTATTCACTGTACTTCCATTGGATAGTTATATAGAGTAAGAAAATGTGATAAAATGCTTATGGCCACTAGAGCATGGAAGCATATGACCAGACACACACATATACAACAGTATATACTCATTGGCAGACTGAAAAACGACCCCTTCCCATTTCCTTCCCACACCCTACATGATTTCCCCTCTACCCATCCAGCAGCTTGAGGATGCTGTCTCTCTCCTTCAGTGCTTTCCATGCCTGATCCTTCTCCTTCTTTGTCGGTGTGCGTTTCTTCTGCCTGGCAGCCATAATGCGACGGAAGCCCTCCATGACCTCATTATCAGACACCCGGACCCTCTGCCGCAACTCCTGCTTCCGCATCTCCTCCTTTGCCAGGCTGTAAGGAGGACAATGAAGGGAAGGTTAGAGTAAACTATGAATGCTGAGTGTTGTAAATAATATCCAAATCCAGTACTAGTTTGTGATGAGTGTTCAGGTAATGCACTACTGCACATATGATGGTGGATGAAGTGAAACAATGTGAAGCAACTGGGCCTTCTATAAGTGCAACTCATCATCATCAACGTAAGAACATCCCTCCATTTAGGTCTTAAAACAGGGGTGTCAAAATCATTCCATGGAGGGCCTAGTGCCTGCTGGTTTTGGGTTTTTCCTTTCAATTAAGACCTAGACAACCAGGTGAGGTGAGTTCCTTACTAATCAGTGACCTTAATTCATCAATCAAGTCCAAGGGAAGAGTGAAAACCCGCAGACACTCGGCCCTCTGTGGAATGAGTTTGACACGTGTCTTAAACTAAGTCATCAGACAGTTCTTTAGGACCTTAAATCAACCTTATTGCTCATGTACATTTTACATTTCTCCCCTGCACTTTTCTCTTGTGCTCTCACCGGAGTAACTCCTGCTTACGGGATCTGTTGTGGGCACTAAGGGCTTTGAGTTCAGCCTGTCTCTTGTGGAGCTCAGCGAGCACCTCATCCTCTGAGTCTCCGCCTGCTCCAGGCCGCTCCTCAGAATCCAGCAGCCCTTGAGACATCAGCTCCTCCTTGATCCGTGCCTCTAGGGAGCGCGTGTGAGGAACACTAGGAAAGAGGAAGAGTGGGAAAGTCGGCGGAAAGAAAGATCTAGTTGACTGATTGGTGAGTGACTGAGTCGCAGAAGAAGTAATCAGTGATTGGAATATATTGGCGTAATCTACAAAGCCTTTGTTGCTATTGTGAAGAAATTTTCCTTCAGGGTATCTGTAGAGTGTATCCTACAAGGTTATGACGGGGTGATGTTAGTTTATGGAGGATAAGCCTTTACCTAAAAGCTTTGCCCTGGCTGCGAGGTGAGGTCCCAGCCCCCTCGTTCCCTCCATCCTTCCCAGATATGTCTGGGATTGGAGAATCCTCCATGGGTGATATGATATTCTCCTGCAAGAAAGAAACAAGATGAAATAAAGAATTTCAATTATAATTATAATGTATTCAAATCAACTAGTTATTTGCAGGGATGTGTTTAAGTCATTTAGAATTGTATGCGTAAACAACAAAGCCTGAAATATGCGACCTCGACAAGAGCCTGAAGGAGCCGCTGTGTAAGAGGCCCGAAGGGACAACCATCCTCTGGTGGGTCGTGCTGGGACTCTGACTTTTTCAGCAGGGCATCCACATCTGAGGGAATAAAATCCCCCTTGTATCAGACATAATTACACATGATTGATGCTAAAGGAAGACAACAATGCCCATTTGTGAAGGCTCATCCACTCAATACATGCTGTATGTCGTCATCCCCATCTCCTAGCATGCCCTCACCTTTGGCGTCTAGTTCAGACAGTGGTCCCATGAAGCTTTTCTTCTTGTCGTTGGCTCGTGCTCCTTCCCTCTGTTCCTCCAGCAGATCCTCCTGAGCCCATCGCTGAGAGTAGTGCTTCCCCAATGCCGGAATCTACACAATATAACCAATACAATATTATTTATCTACAGTTGAAGTCGGAAGTTTACATACACCTTAGCCAAAAACATTTAAACTCAGTTTTTCACAATTCCTAGTAATAATCCTAGTAGAAATTCCCTGTCTTAGGTCAGTTAGGATCACCCATTCATTTTAAGAATGTGAAATGTCAGAATAATAGTAGAGAGAATTATTTATTTAAGCTTTTATTTCTTTCATCACATTCCCAGTGGGTTAGAAGTTTACATACACTCAATTAGTATTTGGTAGCATTGCCTTTAAATTGTTTAACTTGGGTCAAACGTTTCCGGTAGCCTTCCACAAGCTTCCCACAATAAGTTGGGTGAATTTTGGCCCATTCCTCCTGACAGAGCTGGTGTAACTGAAACAGGTTTGTAGGCCTCCTTGCTCGCACATGCTTTTTCAGTTTTGCCCACACATGTTCTATAGGATTGAGGTCAGGGCTTTGTGATGGCCACTCCAATACCTTGACTTTGTTGTCCTTAAGCCATTTTGGCACAACTTTGGAAGTATGCTTGGGGTTATTGTCCATTTGGAAGACCCATTTGCAACCAAGCTTTAACTTCCTGACTGATGTCTTGAGATGTTGCCTCAATATATCCACATAATTTTCCTTCCTAATGATGCCATCTATTTTGTGAAGTACACCAGTCCCTCATGCAGCAAAGCACCCCCACAGCATGATGCTGACACCCCCGTGCTTCACGGTTGGGATGGTGTTCTTCGGTTGCAAGCAACCCCCTTTTTCCTCCAAACATAACGATGGTCATTATGGCCAAACAGTTCTATTTTAGTTTAAATCAGACCAGAGGACTTTTCTCAAAAAACTACGATCTTTGTCCCCATGTGCAGTTGCAAACCGTAGTCTGGCTTTTTATGGAGGTTTTGGAGCAGTGGCTTCTTCCTTGCTAAGCGGCCTTTCAGGTTATGTCGATATAGGACTCATTTTACTGTGGATATAGATACTTTTGTACCTGTTTCCTCCAGCATCTTCACAAGGTCCTTTGCTGTTGTTCTGGGATTGATTTGCACTTTTCGCACCAAAGTACGTTCATGGTTAGGAGACAGAACGTGTCTCCTTCCTAGAGCGGTATGATGGCTGCATGGTCCCATGGTGTTTGTACTTGCATACTATTGTTTGTAGAGATGAACGTGGTACCTTCAGGCGTTTGGAAATTGCTCCCAAGGATGAACTAGACTTGTGGAAGTCTACAATTTTTTTTCTGAGGTCTTGGCTGATTTCTTTTGAGTTTCCCATGATGTCAAGCAAAGAGGCACTGAGTTTGAAGGTAGGCCTTGAAATACATCCACAGGTACACCTCCAATTGACTCAAATGATGTCAATTAGCCTACCAGAAGCTTCTAAAGCCATGACATCATTTTCTGGAATTTTCCAAGCTGTTTAAAGACACAGTCAACTTAGTGTATGTAAACTTCTGACCCACTGGAATTGTGATACAGTGAATTATAAGTGAAATAATCTGTCTGTAAACAATTGTTGGAAAAATTACTTGTGTCACGCACAAAGTAGATGTCCTAACCGACTTGCCAAAACTATAGTTTATTAACAAGACATCTGTGGAGTGGTTGAAAAACAAGTTTTAATGACTCCAACCTAAGTGTATGTAAACTTCCGACTTCAACTGTATGTTCTCTCCTTGGGGAAATGTGTAACAGAGGATGAGTAACACACCATTCAATCACACTCTTATCTGAAGTGTCACAGAAAACCTTCTATCAGATAGGCTAGTAGTGCTTGGGACCGGAGAGGCCAGCTAAGGCAGCTACTATAATGATATGAGCATAACATGACAAAACTTTAAAAGGGGTAGGATTCAATATTGTACCTTGTAGTATTCAGCCTCGTCATCCAGGGGCTTCAGGAGTTCTTCTAGAACCCGGATTTCTTCATTTGTGATGTCAGCACAGTATGGCTCTACTGATGCCCAAAATCTAGAAAACATTAGACACAAATACACTAGAAAATCTTGCATGTGGGACAATGAAAAACAAACACTGTCAGTGACCTTAGAGCAATGTTTCCCAACCCTGGTCCTCAAGTACCGCCAACAGTACACATTTTTATTGTAACCCTGGACAAGCACACCTGATTCAACTTGTCAACTAATCATCAAGCCCTCAATGAGCCGGTTTCCCAAAAGCATCTTAAGGCGATGGGTTCAAGAAGATGGCGGACAAGGGAAAAAGGAAGAAACTGGAACATATTATGAATAAATATGGAGTGGGGTATTGTACAAACCTTCTGGAAGTGAAATATGTCCTGAGTGAATATGGAATGGAGGATTGGACAGAACTTCTAGAAGAGCTAAAGAAAGAAATTGAACATGACAAGACTGAGGGTGAATCAATTGCTGTGGCAGGTGTAGTGATGACAGCCGAGAATGAGTTGAGTGTAGAGGGAAGAGGGGTGGTAGGCGACAAGTGTAAAAAGAGGGATACGTGATCTAGTAGCTCGGAGATGGAACCTGAAGTACCCGCGGTGGAGCCTGCCGAGTTTGGGCCTCGTTCCAAGGATGTCAAGGATAATTCTGGCCCAGTGGGAGTGAGATTGGTGGAGAGAGTGGATCCTTGCAGTTTGGCTGAAGAGTGGAAGACAGGTGATAAAGGAAAATGGAACAAAAAGGGCTAAAGTTGTTAATGAGTATACGTTTCTGGTTGGAGTAAGGTTCACTAACAATTATGCTTTTGTGGGAGATCTGTTTGAAGTATCAAGGATGATAAGGGATGCATTGGGAAAGGTGGAATCGTCAGAGGGACCAGAAGCGGTTTTGTTTTGATTTCTTGTGTCGAAAGAGCAGAAGGAAATGGCATTAAGGATCGACAAACTATCGACTTATGAAGTGGAGAGTTTAGATTTTTGTAGCAGAGCACCGTTAAAAGGTCTCATCTCTGGCGTCGCGTTGGATGTGGAGGCCTCGTGGTTTACGGGGAGCATACCAGGAGTAGTTGGAGCACGCCGGCTGAACTGTGTCGTAGATGGGGATTAAAGAAAGACTGTCGGTATTATTGATGTTTGACGAAGAGTATCTCCCTTCACATGTGAAGATGGGATATGTTAGATATGCGGTGAGAGCTTTTGTGTCCAAGCCGTTGTTTTGCCGGAATTGCGAAAGGTATGGACATGTATCAAGTGTGTGTCGAAGGAATGTTGTTGAAGAATCTGAGGGTGTCCGATGTTCCTACTGTGATGGCAACCACGTTCCAAATTCCCCGGAGTGCCCGGTTAGGAAAAAGGAGTATGAAGTGGCAAGAGTCAGGGCTATACAGCAGGTCTCTTACACTGAGGCTCGTGAAATAGTTGAAGGAGCGAAGGGAGCTGAAGATATGGGGGTGGACGCTCCGCAGACTGTGGAGATTCAGAGGGAAACTGATATGCTGATTGTGAAGAAGGTAGATTTTATGGTGTTTATTGTGCATGTGATTAATTGTACTGCACAAACAAACAAAAAGTCCAAGAAACTGGACATAATAGTATCTGCGGCTGAAAGGTTTTTGGGTTTCCAGGACTTCACTGCCGAAACATTGCAAAGAATAATGTCCTAAGATGCTCTTCCTTCTCAGGCCCCAGAGCCTGTAGGGATGGGCGTTGGCAGTTGAATCAAAATAAAGGAGTACATTGAGTTTAGTTCATTTTGTTTCGTTTTATTTTGTTCATTATATACACCCAAAACAGTAGGTAGCGGCATGCACCTATAGCATTTGTTTGCGGTCCGCAATAACATCAAATAAGAAGACCCTGTACAGTAGGTGGCGGCAATACACCAATAGGTGTAGTTTGCCATAAAACTTTAAAGAAGAAGAAGAAGCAGCCCTCAATGAGGTGTGTTTGTCCAGGGCTACAACAAAAATGTCTACTGTTGAGGGTATTCGAAGACCAGGGTTGTGAAACACTGCCTTGGAGCACTGTTTGTGTGAGATGTGATTGTCACCGACCTGTTGGGGGCATCATTCTTAGGATTACGGGGAATGTCCTGTGGATCCTCACTTAACTCGTACTCCTGGACTTTGGCCTGCAGATTTTTGGATTTGGGTCGTCCGGGACCAGGCCCAGGCCCCTGACTGCCCTTTCCATCAAGTTTCTGCTTCTTCGGTTTATGACGTGATGAGGCTGAGAAGTCTGCGTCCTTTCCCAGCTTCAGAAACCGCTTGTCCCCTTTCTTATCCTGCCAGTCTGTGAGGATCTGAGAAAGATAGGTACCAGTTACCAACAAACCGTCCTTATCAAATAAGGATGAGACAGGAAGATTTGTAACATCAGGCAAGTATTTACATGTTACATTTTTACGTCATTTAGCAGACGCTCTTATCCAGAGCGACTTACAGTTAGTGAGTGCATACATTATTTATTTTTTCATACTGGCCCCCCATGGGAATCGAACCCACAACCCTGGCATTGCAAACGCCATCCCTGCCGGCCAAACCGTCCCCTACCTTAGACGACGCTGGGCCAATTGTGCGCCGCCCCATGTCTCCCGGTCGCGGCCGGCTACGACAGAGCCTGGATTCGAACCAGGATCTCTAGTGGCACAGTTAGCACTGCGATGCAGTGCCTTAGACCACTGCGCCACTCGGGAGGTTATCACTTGTAGTGTCAGAAACACTATGGCAGCAAAATATCTTGCCTGTCCAACATTACAGATGGAGGTATAGCAGCAGCAGGTAGAGTAAAGAGGCAACTGAATCCTCAGGCTGTCCAATGACATAAAAGCTGCTCAATTGTTTGATGAAAACATTTGAGATGTGCTCACTGACTCCTGCCTTACCTGCCTCTGTTCTTCCAGAGCTCTGAGACGGCGGCTAGCAGAGGACAGGAGAGTCTCCAGCTCCAGCTGCAGTGTGTCCAGCTCCTCAATACCGATGCCATCGTCCTCTGAGCGCCCGAGCACTGCAGTGTAGCGGGGGCACACCTTCACATGCTCTACTGGCTTAAAGTCATAGTACTTTAGAGGCGGGCAGTCCTTCAACTCACTCATCTTGATGGTTAGAGTGGGCTATGTCTATGTGGAGGAGAGATCATGTGCACCATTGATCATACAAAAATGGACAGACATCATGAAACAATGTCAATTAGCTCTTTGTGTCACTGTCACTGTCACTGTCACACCACACACACACACACACACACACACACACACACACACACACACACACACACACACACACACACACACGGCCAGGCCATGCATGATTTTGTTTTAGCCCAGTACAAATCCACTTGATTCAACTATTAAAGCCAGGGCTGGTTTAACCAGGGGGGTGGTACTGCGATGGAACTAAAATCTGCATAGCCTGTGGTCCCCTCAGAACCAAGAATGGCAGGATTAAAAGAAAACTCAAATCTGTCCATAAAGCAACATTGGACCACTGCTCTGGAAAGGCTCCTCACATTACTCGCTAAACTCTTCTAGCCTACTACTACTAGCTTCAAGACCGGGGAACAACGTGGGTGATTTCCATTGAAGACAACGTGAAAATTAGCGTTAGCTAGCTTGTTAACGAGCTAGCTAGCTTTAGCACAGTATCTGCGTTCAATGACCGGTGCATCGGAAACTACACTGACCATTCACAATGTCAATCAGAACCTCCAATACACTTTATAAATAGACAAGACAGTGGTTTGATTGCAAATGCATCATGTAAATCTAAAGTAAATTGGCTAAATTTTGAATATTAACACAACAATATTAAATTTACCTCTGACTCGTAGACTGCCATCCATAATTGACTGAACCATCTATGGAAGAAGGGGGGTACGAAAATTCAGGAACAGGGATTTGTGTTCTATTTTGAAAACTTGTAAATAGTATTTCTGAGTGTGAAATTATTTTCAACTATTAATAATATTTTGTTTTACTAATAACCAAGTGAAGGATAAAGAATGTCAGAGACTCAAAATTGTAGAATAGTATCTCCGGTAAAAAAAACATATCATATTTGGGGATGTGTATTTACGGTAAGGGATCAAAATGTTTCATTTGTCAGTTATATTTGTAATAATACAATAGTTCTTAATACAATTATTATTATAAAAATAGCACATGGCCTAAATTCGTATTTTATTTAACTCCCCTACAAAGTGAGGCCAACAAATGGATGCGTCCAAAGATGTTTAGAGCCCAGAGAGATGGCCGCAGCGACCGAAAGGTTTCAACTAGTTACCCCAGCCACAAAGTCAAAATTGGCTATAGTAAAATTCATGAAAACAAACATTTGCTTTTTGGTCTTAATTTAAGGTTAGGATTAGTCATAATGTTAGCAGTGTGGTTAGATTTTAAATCAGATTTTTAAAAAATACAATGTAGAAATGGGCGGGGTTTATGACTTTGTGGTGGTGGTAACTAGTGATGACCCGACGAAATCCAATGAAAACGCTCTGTCAAAGATTATCTATTATATTGACAAGATGGTCGACTGACCGCTCTAACAATGTAAATACATGTCCGCAAAGGCGAACGACAGGCGGTAATCAGCAGATCCGACCCGCTTGCTTACAGCTGCACTAGGGTCAGACAGCATTTTTGTGCATATTAAGACACCGCTGAGCCGGCGCGAGATATGGCTCAGAAAACGTACGTCAATCCAGGGATGAGAAATATGATGTACTCAGAATTGTCCCATTACTCCAACTGCTACACTGAGAAGATTGAACGACTGGTCATTTTTTAGCAGTTGTTCAATCTTCTCTTAGTGTTAATTTAGGACTGTGAGTCGTTTATGAAATGTTGTCTGGTCTCACGGTAATTGACCGTTGATCAACATAAACATGTTTAGCATCCCCAGGCTTCCACGCATACTAGCTGCTGATGCACGCCTTTGGAACATCTACTTTTTAAAAAGTCAAATAAATCAGTTTAATATAGCCTATTCCATCACAATAATATCCATGATTTAATTAGTTATGATAGACCTATAAACCTGGGAATGTCTTCGAAATCAAGACATAAGGGGTGGGGTGCATGATGAGACTCTATATTGATGATTTGGGAAAAGTTACAAAAAAGGCATGCGCTCTGATCCTTCCCGTGCGATAGAGAGACAATTGCATTGCTACTCTGCTTGTGTGGCAAGCAAGTTAGGGGATATCTAATCAATGGAAGATGGAATTAAACTGGCAAAATTAAAATGAAATGAGAAAGAGAGGCTACAACGACCAAAAGCCAACAGATAGGCTGCTATTTACTTTATAATCTGAGTGGAGTTGTTGTTATGTGTAGCTAACTGTAGGATGTGAGAAGCGTCCCGTGTAGCTCAGTTGGTAGAGCATGGCGTTTGCAACGCCAGGGTTGTGGGTTCGATTCTCACGGGGGCCAGTGTAAAAAAATAATAATATATATACACATGTATGCACTCTCCAATGTGCTAAATGACTAAAATGTAAATGTGAGTGCAGTAACGTTATGGCTAGCCCCAATTAGCCTAGTTAGCTAGCTTCTCTCAGTTTGATGCAGTCAATACAGGTACTATGTAATTGGATGGGATGATAAATAACTAGCAAGAAGTTAGTCTAGCACGAGATAACAGTGGTCGCGGTCTCTCCCTCCATGCCTGCTCTGAGCCTCCTGTTTCACACACACCACACCTCAAGGCCTCCACTCCCTAATAGCCTACAGCTGCTTTTCTCTCTCTCTCTGGAACGGGTTTTAAAAATAAATGTATGCATATTGTGTAAATCAAATCAAATGTTATTTGTCACATACACGTGTTTAGCAGATGTTATAGTGGGTGTAGGCCCTCTGTAGCTCAGTTGGTAGAGCATGGCTTTTGCAATGCCAGGGTTGTGGGTTCGATTCCCACGGGGGGCCAGTATGAAAATGTATGCACTCACTAACTGTAAGTCGCTCTGGATAAGAGCGTCTGCTAAATGACTAAAATGTAAATGTGTAGCGAAATGCTTGTGCTTCTAGCTCCGACAGTGCAGTAATATTTCACAACATATACCTAACACACACAAAACTAGTAAGGAATGGAATTTAAGAAAATATACATATATGGACAAGCAATGACAGAGCAGCATGGACTAAGATACAGTAGATACATATGAGATGAGTAGTGCAAGATATGTAAACATTATTAAAGTGACTGTATACATAATTAAAGTGACTAGTGTTCCATTTCTTAAAGTGGCCAGTGATTTCAATAGGCAGCAGCAGCCTTTAATGTGCTAGTGATAGCTATTTAACAGTCTGATGGCCTTGAGATAGAAGCTGTTTTTCATTCTCTTGGTCCCAGCTTTGATGCACCTGTACTGACCTCACTTTCTGGATCATAGCGGGGTGAACAGGCAGTGGCTCGGGTGGTTGATGTCCTTGATGATCTTTTTGGCCTTCCTGTGACATCGGGTGCTGTATGTGGGCGGGTAGTTTGCCCCCGATAATACGTTCGGCAGACCGCACCACCCCCTGGAGAGCCCTGCGGTTGCGGGCGGTGCAGTTGCTGTACCAGGTGGTGATACAGCCTGACATGATGCTCTCAATTGTGCATCTGTAAAAGTTTGTGAGGGTTTTAGGTGCCAAGCCAAATTTCTTCAGCCTCCTGAGGTTGAAGAGGCTCTGTTGCGCCTCCTTCACCACACTGTCTGCGTGGGTGGGCCATTTCAGTTTGTCGGTGATGTGTACGCCAAGGAACTTGAAGCTTTCCACCTTCTCCACTGCGGTCCCGTCGATGTGGATAGGGGGGTGCACCCTCTGCTGTTTCCTGAAGTCCACGATCATCTCCTTTGTTATGTTGACGTTGAGTGAGAGGTTATTTTCCTGGCATCACACTCCCATTGTTGGTAATCAAGCCTACTACTGTTGTGTTGTCTGCAAACTTGATGATTGAGTTGGAGGCGTGCTTGGCCATGCAGTCATGGGTGAACAGGGAGTACAGGAGGGGGCTGAGCACACACCCTTGTGGGGCCCCAGTGTTGAGGATCAGCGAAGTGGAGATGTTGTTTCCTACCTTCACCACCTGTGGGCACAACATCACCTATACACTTCCTGATAAACTCAGTCACCGTTTCAGTGTATTCGTCTAAATTATTTTTGGAAGCTACCCGGAACATATCCCAGTCCACGTGATCAAAACGATCTTGAAGTGTGGATTCCGACTGGTCAGACCAGTGTTGAATAGTGTACAGGGCTTTCCTGTGTCCATTTCGCAACGGGAACTCTAACTCCCATCACCATTTGTCCTCATCATTCAGATTATTCAAATTTGATCATGAAGTGTTTAGAGAGTGATTAGAAGGACAATAGAGTACTGAGTACCAAGCCATTAGCAAGTTTTGTAGGCTACACATCCGAGCCATTCATTTTCACAGTTTTGGATGTCATTACTGTGACAGGAAATTTGACTGCGGTCATGACTGCCGGTGTGGCGGTAATACGGTCACCGCAACAGCCCAATGTTTATTGGATGTTATTAGGTAACATGTTTATTGTTAGCATGAGCGCTTCTTGTGATATGATTTTTTAAAAATACATTTTTTACATTTTTAATCATTTAGCAGACACTCTTATCCAGAGCGACTTACAGTTAGTGAGTGCATACATTTTTATTTAGTTTTTTCATACTGGCTCCCCATGGGAATCGAACCCACAACCCTGGCATTGCAAGTGCCATGCTCTACCAACTGAGCTACACGTAATGTAATACATGGTCATTTGCTCCAGTTGTTCTATTCATTATCATTCCTTAATGCATAGCTTATCCCATTCTATTGTACTCTGCACATATCTATATTTCTCTCCTGTATAGCATATTCATTATCTATCTGTCTCTGTACCTTTACAGAACGATCCTCATGTACATCCCACTGTACATCTTCGTCAGTGTGTGTAAATAAAGTTCCCTATGTGTGTCAACTCTTGGACTGCCTTATTCCCTCTAACCAGGGGCGGTGTCAGTGAGTCACAAACCAGTAGAATAATATTTTCATTGTCTCGCCGGATTTGTGACTTTGCTGACACCACTACAGTATGGCGGCCCACAGAGACCACACAGGATACTTTCCACACTGCCCACCTGTGGTCCAGTGGAGTATGGCTCTGGGGTATCCAGTGAACTACTACCATGTGGATTATACCTCCTCTCTGCAGCCTATGGGAGCCCTACGTCTGCCGACGGTGCAGTATGGACCCTATGGCCCCTCTCCTCCACCTGTGGGATACTACTCAGCACCAGGTGGGGCTGCATTAACACCCCAATGTGTGGACTAACATTGAGTCACATCGCTGCATCCGTCGTATGGTTTTCCCTTTTTCTTCGGTGGAGTAGAGGAAGCACGTATGGCTCGTATGGAGCAGAATATACAGAGTCTTCTTCGCATCGTGCAACAGCAGACCAGATCCCAGGATTCCTCTGTTCAGGGGAGCCCTCTCCGACAGGTTGCAGTGGAGGACATGAGACAGTAGTATGGAGTTCAGCAGCCTCTGCAACGTTACCGACTACAACTGACTTTAGGGTGTGAGTATTCTGCCTCTTCGGCCCCGGCACCATTGTCGGGCATGGCTGCAACTGAGACCGGGCATGTACACGTCATGTCCCCAGCCCCAACTGGTCATCTGGAGCTGCCTGCTATCGAGACTGAGCCCACACCGGATGTCATTTTCGATCCCCCCCTCCACTGCTGCAGAGTCTGGGGGAACCATCCTCGGGTCAGGCGGCCTATGCGACTCCAACAGCATTGCCACGCAGTAGTGAGCCTATGTTGCTGACCCTATTTCTGACTGCTACCAGATCATCACTAGCCAGAGCTACCTGGTGAAGGGGAACCCAGCCACGAGCTGCCCAGTGACGTGAGCCTACCAGACGACCTAAATACTTTTATGCTCGCTTCGAGGTAAGCAACACTGAACCATGCAAGAGAGCACCAGGTGTTCCGGACGACTGTATGATCTCGCTCTCCGTAGCCAATGAGAGTAAGACCTTTAAACAGGTTAACATTCACAAGGCCGCGGGGCCAGACGGATTACCAGGACGCATACTCAGAGCATGCGCTGACCAGCTGGCAAGTGTCTTCACTGACATTATTTAACCTCTCCCTGACCCAGTCTGTAATACCTACAGGTAGCTTAGTGGTTAAGAGCGTTGTGCCAGTAACCGAAAGGTCGCTGGTTCTAATCCCCGAGTCAACTAGGGGAAAAATCTGTTGATGTGCCCTTGAGCAAGGCACTTAACCGTAATTGCTCCTGTAAGTCGCTCTGGATAAGAGTGTCTGCTAAATGACTAAAATGTAAATGTTTCAAGCAGACCGCCATAGTCCCTGTGCCGAAGAACACCAAGGTAACCTGTCTAAATGACTATCTCCCCGTAGCACTCACATCTGTAGCCATGAAATCCTTTGAAAGGCTGGCCATGGCTCACATCAACACCATCATCCTAGACACCCTGGACCCACTCCAATTCGCATACCGCCCCAACAGATCCACAGGTGACGCTATCTCTATTGACTCCTGAACAGCTAATCATGGCTACCCGGACTATTTGCACTGCCCCCCACCCCCCATCTTTTTACGCTGCTGCTACTCTGTTAATCATTTATGCATAGTCACTTTAACTCTACCCACATGTACATATTACTTCAACTACCTCAACTAGCCGGTGCCCCCGCACATTGACTCTGCACCGGTACCCCCCTGTATATATAGCCTCCCTACTGTTATTTTATTTTACTTCTGCTATTGTTTTTCTCAACACTTGTTTGTTGTTGTTTTATTTGACTTTTTTAAATTAAAAATAAATGCACTGTTGGTTAAGGGCTGTAAGTAAGCATTTCACTGTAATGTCTGCACCTGTTGTATTCGGCGCATGTGGCCAATAACATTTGATTTGATTTGACTCCACACTGCCCTTTCACACCTGGACAAAAGGAACACCTACATGAAAATGCTGTTCATTGACTACAGCTCAGCATTCAACACCATTGTGCCCTCCAAGCTCATCACTAAGCTAAGGACCCTGGGATTTAACATCTCCCTCTGCAACTGGATCCTGGACTTCCTGATGGGCCACCCCCAGCTGATGAGGGTAGGCAACACCACATCCGCCACGCTGACCCTCAACATGAGGGACCCCTCAGGGATGTGTGCTTTGTCCCCTCCTGTACTCCTTGTTCACCCACGACTGTGTGGCTGCACACGACTCCAACACCATCGTTAAGTTTGCAGACGACACGACGGTGGTAGGCCTGATCACCGATGATGATGAGACAGCCTACAGGGAGGAGGTCAGAGACCTGACAGTGTGGTGCCAGGACAACAACCTCTCCCTCAACGTCAGCAAGACAAAGGAGCTGATCGTGGACTACAGGAAACGGAGGGCCAAGCACGCACCCATCCACATCGACGGGGCTGTTGTGGAGCAGGTCGAGAGCTTTCTAGCCTATACGCTATGGATCATTTGATTGAGACCACTCTAAATAGCCTATAGGCACACTTGATATTGCACGCCCAGCAGACAATCAGAGATGAGGGGTGGCATCGGGCACACATTGATTTATAGCCTAATAAGAAACTAATTCTAAAACACAAAGAAATATTGAAATGTCATCAATTACAAATTACATTACCCTCCCCTGGACTAAATTTAAAAAATACTAAACCCTCCCCTTGACTGAAATTGCTCCATTTTCCTCCAGGTAGCCATTCTGTAAATTTTGATTAATCCCTTATTGTTATCTATTGTGTTACTATTTTCTTACTTTTTAACTCTGAATTGTTGGGAAAGGGCTCGTAAGTAAACATTTCACAGTAAAGTCTACACCTGCTGTATTCGGTGCATGTGCTAAATAAACTTTGATTTGATTTGGTTCGAAGTATGTTTTCGAGCCATATCTGGTGCCTGCTCCATTGTGTCTTAATATATACAGTAATGCTGACTGACCCTAGTGCAGCTGTAAACATGCAGATCGGATCTGCTGGCTAGGCAGGTGGGAAGAGGCCAGATCAGGTGGGAACATTCCAGCTAGCCAGTGATCATTTGTCAAAAACCTATCAATAAACTCGTAACAACCTCAGTATTATGAAATTTCTATTCGATCAAATAAGCCTCACCTATCAAAAACTCCTCACATGGTCTGCTTAATCTGCGCGGAAAGATTTTGGGCGGAGTCGACCCTCTCGCATTGCCTCTTCTTCTCAGGCTCTGTTCGCTGTGATGAGAAGTGTAAGATTTACGGAAGAGGTGTTGAATGCAGGCGTGGCACAATAACTTCCGCCTTCAAAACCCAGAACAACAGAGAAATGGTGAGTAACTTTAATTCTATTTCAATCAGAAATACCGATGAAATTCTCTGTTTTCAAATTCCTAGGTTAAACCTTTGTCCTTATTCTGGTGGCTTGATAGTTGCACAGATTAATGTGGGCGTGACGGTGCGCTCTAAGAAAAAAATCTGGATCAAAGCTATTATCAAACCAGTTGGACTAGTATACTTGTCTGATCCGATCCCTTTGATTGTATTAAAGCTGGAAAGCTCTGACACCACCACAACATTCTTAGATTGTGCAATACTATGCAAATGAATGAGGAGTCTAAATATGCTTGTAGTAACATGGTTGTAGCATAACCTGTGACCATGGTACTTCCTCTCTAGAGGTCCGGACAGCAGTCTGTCTGAGACATTTTACATTTACATTTACGTCATTTAGCAGACGCTCTTATCCAGAGCGACTTACAAATAGGTGCATTCACCTTATAGCCAGTGGGATCACCACTTTACAATGTTTTATTTTTATTTTTATTTTTTGGGTGGGGGGGGGTGGGTTGGGGTAAGGGGGGGATAGAAGGATTACTTTATCCTATCCCAGGTATTCCTTAAAGAGGTGGGGTTTCAAATGTCTCCGGAAGGTGGTGAGTGACTCCGCTGTCCTGGCGTCGTGAGGGAGCTTGTTCCACCATTGGGGTGCCAGAGCAGCGAACAGTTTTGACTGGGCTGAGCGGGAACTATGCTTCCGCAGAGGTAGGGGAGCCAGCAGGCCAGAGGTGGATGAACGCAATGCCCTCGTTTGGGTGTAGGGACTGATCAGAGCCTGAAGGTACGGAGGTGCCGTTCCCCTCACAGCTCCGTAGGCAAGCACCATGGTCTTGTAGCAGATGCGAGCTTCAACTGGAAGCCAGTGGAGTGTGCGGAGGAGCGGGGTGACGTGAGAGAACTTGGGAAGGTTGAACACCAGACGGGCTGCGGCATTCTGGATGAGTTGTAGGGGTTTAATGGCACAGGCAGGGAGCCCAGCCAACAGCGAGTTGCAGTAATCCAGACGGGAGATGACAAGTGCCTGGATTAGGACCTGTGCCGCTTCCTGTGTAAGGCAGGGTCGTACTCTCCGAATGTTGTAGAGCATGAACCTACAGGATCGGGTCACCGCCTTGATGTTAGCGGAGAACGACAGGGTGTTGTCCAGGGTCACGCCAAGTCTCTTCGCACTCTGGGAGGAGGACACAACGGAGTTGTCAACCGTGATGGCGAGATCATGGAACAGGCAGTCCTTCCCCGGGAGGAAGAGCAGCTCCGTCTTGCCAAGGTTCAGCTTGAGGTGGTGATCCGTCATCCATACTGATATGTTTGACGGAAAGGTAAAGCCTCAGTTGTATTGTGTGTCTTGGGAATGAAAAAAAAGGTTGCTGGAAGATTGTCGTGATCATTGATCTGTAATAGTAGTGTTTTCAAAGTTAATGTTGACACCCCCTCCCTCAGACAGCGACCCTACGCCCATACTTGAATGCTGTGCGTGCCACACTGCAGGCCGCCCTCTGCCTGGAGAACTTCTCCTCTCAGGTGGTGGAACGCCACAACAAGCCAGAGGTGGAAGTCAGGTGAGTTGTGTTGTGTGTGAAAGTCTCTCGCTCACTCTCTTCCTCTCTCTCTCTCTCTCTCGCTCTCTTTCTCTCTTAGTCCTCATAATGATATTGTTAGTGTTATTTGTTACAGAGTCTTCTCTCATTACAGGAGTAGTAAAGAGCTCTTACTACAGCCTGTGGTGATCAGCCGGAATGACAAGGAGAAGGTCCTAATCGAGGGCTCCATCAACTCTGTGCGAGTCAGCATTGCTGTGAAGCAGGTCAGGGGTTATGACCCTCCTTTTCACTTTCAATGTCACCCTTCCATTATCTTGATGTTGTGTGTTTGTTTAAGTAAGTAAAGTCTTTCACGTACACTGAGTGTATAAATCATTAAGAACACCTGCTCTTTCCATGACAGCCTGACCAGGTGAATCTAGGTAAAAGCTATGATCCCTTGTTGATGTCACTTGTTAAATCGACTTCAATCAGTGTATATGAAGGGGAGGAGACAGGCTAAAGAAGGATTGTTAAGCCTTGAGACAATTGAGACATGGATTGTGTATAGTCCCGTGTAGCTCAGTTGGTAGAGCATGGCGCACGGGGCGCACGGGGGGCCAGTATGAATTTTGTTTTACAAAAATGTATGCACTCACTAACTGTAAGTCGCTCTGGATAAGAGCGTCTGCTAAATTACTAAAATGTTTTTTTTAAAATGTATGTGTGCCATTCAGAGGGTGAATGGGCAAGACTAAAAATGTAAGTGCCTTTGAACGGGTATGGTTGTAGGTGCTAGGCGCACCGGTTTGTGTCAGGAACTGCAACGCTGCTGGGTTTTTCACGCTCAACAGTTTCCTGTGTGTATCAAGAATGGTCCACCACCCAAAGGACATCCAGCCAACTTGACACAACTGTGGGAAGCATTTGAGTCAACATGGGCCAGCATCCCTGTGGAACGCTTTCGACACCTTGTAGAGTTCATGCCCCGACGAATTAAGGCTGTTCTGAGGGAAAAAAGGGGGGTGCAACTCAATATTAGGAAGGTGTTCTTAATGTTTTGTACACTCAGTGTAGATTTAAAAGCCTTCGGCTGCAAATAAAAAAGTGTGTTTGATGGAAATGCTGACTGGTGCTCTGTGATTGGCTCCATCAGGCTGATGAGATTGAGAAGATCCTGTGCCACAAGTTCATGCGCTTCATGATGATGAGAGCGGAGAACTTCTTCATTCTCAGGAGGAAACCAGTTGAGGTGAGCGATGAGTCAAGAAAACTGAAACGGGATACGATCCAGTTGGTGTTTGTATTGCGTCAGATGTTTTAAGACTTGCTCATCTTTTTTCTTCCTTCTGTCTCTCTTCCTTCATCTCTCCATCCTGTCATCTAGGGCTATGACATTAGTTTCCTCATCACCAACTTCCACACGGAGCAGATGTACAAGCATAAGCTAGTGGACTTCGTCATCAACTTCATGGAGGAGATCGACAAGGAGATCAGCGAGATGAAGCTGTCTGTCAATGCCCGTGCCCGTATCGTTGCGGAGGAGTTCCTCAAGAATGTAAGACTGCTATGTTTTAGAAGAAAAACCATCTAGATTCTAATGCATTTATAGAAATGTGGTCAAATCAATGGGAATAATGAAACAATATTATGATGTTTGTCAATGCCTTCCTGTTGTTTCAGTTCTGAGGTGGTATCCTCGCATTCCTCTCACTGATCACATGACTTGGCCATGACCGTGGATCTGTGAGAGACTGGGCAGGCTCAAGGGCCCGATAGCAGGAAGAGGGTGGAGAAGCGTACTGTGAGTGAACAACCAATCAGTGGCGAAGACTATAGAAAAGTGACCAATCCAGTGTGGGTGTGGCGCACCAAACTGTGTCTCACAAGTATGTACGGTACTCATAAATATTGATGACTGTATATAATGAAATATTTCCTAGTTTATTTTTCTGCCTCTTAGAGCAAATCTCAAAACCAAGGCGGGTCCTTAAAAGTATTAACCGAGTTGATATTCATGATGACAGGGACAATGAGAATGTGTTGTTGCAACTGAAACAGCCTGTATTGTTTTTATACATTCTGTATGTCTTTATGTACTCTTGTTTGTCTATGTGTTCAGGTTTTTTTCTTCTCATTTTGTTACAACAACAAAAATATTAACCTGTTCAGTAAGATCATCATGGAGAGAAAAAAATCAGATGTATGTTTACATTTGATTACAAGACACGTCACAGATTTATTGATTTGTCGTAAGATATGAAATGATAATAATGAATGATATAATCACCAATAAAAGTCATGACAGCTTGTTTGTACTTTTGAGTTATGATGCTTGTGTGTATCCCATAAATCCCCTCCTTTTTGTCCACATCCTCATTCATGAGGTTGAGTGTGCATACCGTTTGATACGCACTTTGTCTCATTCTATTTCTGTGGCACTAGCTGTGTTGGTTGGGACTCTAGTCTCTGCTAAGATCAGCTGTTTCTGTTAGTAAGGGTCTCTGTATTATTTCAGTTGCGAGAAAGGGGAAGCGAATATGTGTTTTCTGGCTCTAGTATGAGTCAGATCTTGCATGCTTCCTGGTAGAGTGTGGGCCTCTAGCTCTGAACTAAAACTGAGACTGTGGTTGGAGTATTTTTGTTGAAAGTGATTTCCCTTCTTTCGTAAGCCTAAAACTGCAAACGCGTGTTGCATTATAGCCAATTCTTGTATTTCAAAGTTTATTTTCATGACACTTTTTATGTTTCATGTTCCAGCATATTCATTCAACACTAGTGATCTTTGGTAATTTGTATGCAATTATGTGCTTGGCTGATTTGGAGAAAATCCACATTTCCAGAAAAAGATACATGTTAATTGTGAGGTCATCTGTAATAGAGGACCTCTGTTATGAATCTGAGGCATCTGTATAAAAATACCACAAAAAATCTTTATTGAAGCTGTAGGAGGAGAATTCTTGGCATTTTGAAAACAATGATCAAACATTTTGATCCTATAGCAGCCTACATAAGCACCAACAATTGGATTTGCCCACATATCCGCACATGCTGATGGTGTAGCCAAACAATAAAAATATACTGAACAAAAATATAAACGCAAGGTGTTGGTCCCATGTTTCATGAGCTGAAATAAAAGATCCCAGAAATGTGTAACCACGCCAGCCCAGGACCTCCACATTCGGCATCTTCACCTGTGGGATCGTATGAGACCAGCCACCTGGACAGCTGATGAAACTGAGGAGTATTTCTGTCTGTAATAAAGCCCTTTTGTGGGGAATTGCCTGGGCCTGGCTCCCCAGTGGGTGGGCCTATGCCCTCCCAGGCTCCTGCCCAGTCATGTTCCATAGATAAGGGCCTAATGAATTTATTACAATTGACTGATTTCCTTATATGAACTGTAACTCAGTAAAATCTTTGAAATTGTTGCATGTTGCATTTATATTTTTCTTCAGTATATGTATAATAATATGATAAATACAGGTAACTTGCCAAAATAAAGGAAACACCAACATAAAGTGTCTTAATAGGGCTTTGGGCCACCATGAGCCAGAACAGCTTCAATGCACCTTAGTATAGATTTTACAAGTGTCTAGAACTCTATTGGAGGGATGTGACACCATTCTCCCACAAGAAATTCCATCATTAGTTTTGTTGTTGATGGTGGTGGTGGAAAACTCTGTCTCAGGCGCCGCTCCAGAATTTCCCATAAGTGTTAAATTGGGTTGAGATCTGGTGACTGAGACGGCAATGGCATATTGTTTACATCGTTTTCATGCTCATCAAACCATTTACTGACCAGTCGTGCTCTGTGGATGGGGGCATTGTCATCCTATGGGGGCATAGCCATGGTAGCCAAAATAATGGCCTGCCCAGTATTTTTAAACATGACCCCAGAGAGGAAGAGGCGAAGCAAGTGGTTTTACTACGCCCAGAATCTGTCCACGAAAAATAAACCAACGAATTTAGGATTTTGGTCAACAAAAAATGTAATCGCTAATTTGCTACGTGAGGCTTATTTGATCGAATACAATTTTTGTAATGGTTAGGTTGTTACAAATGCACTGGCATTTCGGCAACTTAGAAAAAAATGACTTCATATCAGAGTGGTGCCTGCTGTCATAGAGACAGATATAGGACTAATCATGGATATTACCAGTTTTAAGATGGACGTTTCCATTGAGGGCTACCACCATTTTAAAGTAGTCAACTGGGTGGGGATTCCTATGAGTTGGGAGCAATGAGCCAATGGAGAAGAAGAAAATGGAATACTTTAAAATGAAGATAGCCTCATGGCGCTGCCCATGCTGTCACAGACGATGTGATGGCAAAGATACAAAGATTAGTCCTCTATCTAGCTCTATGGCTGTTGTGCACAAGCAATATGCCCTCTCATTGGCTAGAATGGTCTCCCAACTGATCTCGTCTCCTCTCGCATGACTTCCTTCCATCTTTGAGGACATGTATTCCCATTGTTAAAGCGATCAATCGACTATCTTGTCAATATAATAGACAATCTTTGATTACCCTAAGCACGATGGAATGTTAATTGCTTAATTAACTCAGGAACCACACCTGTGTGGAAGCACCTGCTTTCAATATACAGTGGGGAAAACAAGTATTTAGTCAGCCACCAATTGTGCAAGTTCTCCCACTTAAAAAGATGAGAGAGGCCTGTAATTTTCATCATAGGTACACGTCAACTATGACAGACAAATTGAGGAAAAAAAATCCAGAAAATCACATTGTGGGATTTTTAATGAATTTATTTGCAAATGATGGTGGAAAATAAGTATTTGGTCACCTACAAACAAGCAAGATTTCTGGCTCTCACAGACCTGTAACTTCTTCTTTAAGAGGCTCCTCTGTCCTCCACTCGTTACCTGTATTAATGGCACCTGTTTGAACTTGTTATCAGTATAAAAGACACCTGTCCACAACCTCAAACAGTCACACTCCAAACTCCACTATGGCCAAGACCAAAGAGCTGTCAAAGGACACCAGAAACAAAATTGTAGACCTGCACCAGGCTGGGAAGATTGAATCTGCAATAGGTAAGCAGCTTGGTTTGAAGCAATCAACTGTGGGAGCAATTATTAGGAAATGGAAAACATACAAGACCACTGATAATCTCCCTCAATCTGGGGCTACACGCAAGATCTCACCCCGTGGGGTCAAAATGATCACAAGAACGGTGAGCAAAAATCCCTGAACCACACGGGGGGACCTTTTTTATTTTTTTATTTTTTTTTATTTTTATTATTATTTTTATTTTATTTTATTTTTTTGGGGGGGATGGATCAGCTTAATATTGCAGATAGATTGTATCTTCTATCAATGTAATTGTCTGCATCACTTCCAATCCCCCATGTTTTATTTTTATTTTTTATATATATATATATTCCCCTTTATTACTTTTCAACCCCACCATCCTTTCCCTACTTGGAGTAAATTAGTGAACAACAACGCCCAGGCCTCTACTTCCGGTCTATAATTACTATCTACACCTTATGGACAGAGTTAATTTTACAATAATTCTATATATATATATATATATATATACAGTGGGGAGAACAAGTATTTGATACACTGCCGATTTTGCAGGTTTTCCTACTTACAAAGCATGTAGAGGTCTGTAATTTTTATCATAGGTACACTTCAACTGTGAGAGACGGAATCTAAAACAAAAATCCAGAAAATCACATTGTATGATTTTTAAGTAATTAATTTGCTTTTTATTGCATGACATAAGTATTTGATCACCTACCAACCAGTAAGAATTCCGGCTCTCACAGACCTGTTAGTTTTTCTTTAAGAAGCCCTCCTGTTCTCCACTCATTACCTGTATTAACTGCACCTGTTTGAACTCGTTACCTGTATAAAAGACACCTGTCCACACACTCAATCAAACAGACTCCAACCTCTCCACAATGGCCAAGACCAGAGAGCTGTGTAAGGACATCAGGGATAAAATTGTAGACCTGCACAAGGCTGGGATGGGCTACAGGACAATAGGCAAGCAGCTTGGTGAGAAGGCAACAACTGTTGGTGCAATTATTAGAAAATGGAAGAAGTTCAAGATGACGGTCAATCACCCTCGGTCTGGGGCTCCATGCAAGATCTCACCTCGTGGGGCATCAATGATCATGAGGAAGGTGAGGGATCAGCCCAGAACTGCACGGCAGGACCTGGTCAATGACCTGAAGAGAGCTGGGACCACAGTCTCAAAGAAAACCATTAGTAACACACTACGCCGTCATGGATTAAAATCCTGCAGCGCACACAAGGTCCCCCTGCTCAAGCCAGCGCATGTCCAGGCCCGTCTGAAGTTTGCCAATGACCATCTGGATGATCCAGAGGAGGAATGGGAGAAGGTCATGTGGTCTGATGAGACAAAAATAGAGCTTTTTGGTCTAAACTCCACTCGCCGAGTTTGGAGGAAGAAGAAGGATGAGTACAACCCCAAGAACACCATCCCAATCGTGAAGCATGGAGGTGTAAACATCATTCTTTGGGGATGCTTTTCTGCAAAGGGGACAGGATGACTGCACCGTATTGAGGGGAGGATGGATGGGGCCATGTATCGCGAGATCTTGGCCAACAACCTCCTTTCCTCAGTAAGAGTATTGAAGATGGGTCGTGGCTGGGTCTTCCAGCATGACAACGACCCGAAACACACAGCCAGGGCA